AGCTGGCTGGAGTAGGAGTCATTTAGAAACACATGGACTTAAGACAAAGTGCTTACTTGACAAAATTAAATACACAAATTGAAACGCAAACAAAAGTCAAACACTGCAAGCACATGCAGGTGCCAGATAGGATGTCAGTTCTCATGCTTTTGATGCCAGCTTTAAGTGTGGGAAGTGTTTCTGCACGTCTACACAAAACTCCAAATATCTCCTTATCGTGAGCACCTCCATTACAGCCTCTTAGTTTTCCCTGGCCCTCAGGTCACACTACATCTTGAGACATTTCCCGCACACCCTCACCTTACCTGAAGCCTTTTGACATACAGACACAAATACGCAAATATACACATACAAAGATTTATGGAATACCACAAGGTTTTGAAACACAAAACGCAGCCTGCGGGTGCTAAAATATGCAAGTCACACCCTTTGCTTACTAACTCAAAAAATATATCAGTCTTCTTACGTGTTATTATGCTCCAAGAAGGAAAAACTGTTCACATTTCCTTTCTCATGAGTACAACTTTAGAACAGTTTATGAATTTTCGAAATGTGAACTTGTCTCATATTTTCTCCCAGTGTTTATTTATTTATTTTTGCAGGACATTCACAATAAGTGTTCTTTCCATTATCTATCTTTGACCATTGCAATGGCTTCTCAACCACACTAGTAATGCCTCCTCAGTGCTTAAGTTTAAATTCAAAGTGTTTTACAGTTTTATATGTTATATGTTTATACATCTAATTTTACTGTGCTAATAATATGGTTAAAGGAATAGTTCACACAAAAATGAAAATTCTGTCATAATTTACTACATAATCTTTCTTCTGTGGAACACCAAAGAAGATATTTTGAAGAATGTTTTGGTCTCAAAATTCTCAAAATATTTTGTACAGAAAATACAACCTTAGAACATTATATGACCATTATTTTCAAGCTGTTGTGTAAATGCTAAACAGGACAAATATTTAAGAATGTGGCTTGTTCAACCTGATCTCACGAGAAAATGCAAATATTTGATGTTTTGGTGAATTGGTGGCAAATCCGTATGAATTTTAATTTGAAAAAAATGTAAGCAAGCATGAAGGTCCACTCTTATACCCACCGCTAAACCTAACCGCAAGTGTGCCGTAGATCGTAGTAGTAAATTATATGGAAATGTATGAATGAGATTGTATGAATCCATATGAATAATAAAATAGTTATGAATTTTCATGAGTGAGTTGACCTTGTTTTATTAACCAATTTTTTATATAATTTGGTCTGTTGACTAAACATTGCACTTGCTTTATTTTCATTTACATTTTACCAACATGTTGCAAGGACTATTTCTATTTGAGTAACAGTAATAGTCTCTTCTTTTTTAGTTTGAAGCTATCTGTCTTCTTTTATTGCACGTTCTTGCATACTTAAGTTATTGACATCTTTTTCATTTTTGCAGGAGATTATCGCAGATGTGCTCTTCATATTGTACTGTACTGTATCAGCAAGTAAACTATTAATTAATGATAATGATCAATGAGGATGTTTCTTTTCACTGCTTTGGGCCTTTGGGCATCAGGATGATGCATTTACAATGGTACACCAACTAGTTTCTTTGCCTATTGGACTAGAGGATCAAGTTTTTTGGATCCAGTGGCAATAGTTGCATAGACAATTAGGCATTATTTTTCCATTTTAAATCTCTTTTCCAAGTGTGCAGTGCAGTGAATATCATTGCTAAGAAACTGTACAAACCACAAACTTTTAAAATCTAGCCCAGCAGTGGTGTTTTTGACAGTTTGTTTTCACTTGAATTCTTAAGAAGAATGATGATTACTCACACTGACAGGCTTCACCACACCTTACACAATAATAATAATAATAAAAGTCCCTTTTAAAGGCAAGCCAGTTGGTGGCCATCTTGGTTCCAGTCATTTAAATACATCTCTTATCTACTCGAATGGGGAAAAACTGTAAAACTGTTTATCAAAGTCCAGCTAATGCAAGTTCACATTTAAGAGTAAATAATCAGACAATGTTAACATTTCCTCCATTTGTTTTAATATGAGTGGTTTGTCTATTCATTTAATAGCAATACATTCATTCTCTGATATTTCTTTTTTGAAGAACTACACATTATCTGGTACTCTGGAGAAAAAAAAACAGTAAATGTTGATCAATGTAAATGTGTATGACTAATGCAACATTGCAAATGCGTCCTTCCCTTCATAACTGCTGCTTCTAGTGCCTTTTCCTAACCTGTCATAACTTGAGTGCTCATTGGCCGAGATTAAATGTAGTTAACTCGGATGTGCTTAATGCTGTATATGGTCTCAAGCAGGCTTACTACAAGCCTAGATCATTCACAGTCTGAACAGTGTTGCTTTAATCAGTGTCTGGAGTTGATTCTGTCACATATAATTGCAGCATAACTGCAAAGCATGTCTGTTTTTTCTTTCCCTGATACTCCAAAGATCTTCTATATTCCTCCTGTGGTTAACAGCTATGGAGCACAGGGACTTTCCAGTTGTGTTTAGAGAAAGTGAGAACGTGAAGAACCTTTGTGTGTTGTGATTCATCACTGCATGTTCTTACTTTGTATTGCACAATCCTATTAAAAAAATAGATAGCAGTGGCCTAATTTTGTATGGAGTTGAAATTAGGAACTGACTAGAGTTCTCACCTCTTAATCAAATTAAGACCTTTTCCCTTTTGAATTTTGTTGCTATTTTCATGCTTATAATATTGGCCAGTATCAAAAACAAACTTTAAGGGCAATATTTGAACCATGAACAGATTTCCACAAGCATTTGTACCTTGTCATGATTAGGGCATATAAACTATGCACCCTGCATTTATGTTAAAAGGGTCATATGATGCGATTTCAATTTTTCCTTTCTCTTTGGAGTGTTACAAGCTCTTGGTGCATAAAGAAGATCTGTAAAGTTGCAAAGACTAAAGTCTCAAATCCAAAGAGATATTCTTTATAAAAGTTAAGAGTCAGCCACACCTACCTAAAACGGGTCGTTCTAACACACCCTCACATGTCTACGTCACTGTGTGGGAAGATTTGCATAACGCCGCCCAAATGTTCACGCAAAGAAAGGAGGCGTAACTTTAATTCTCGCTGTAGTATTGTTGCTGCCGCCGCCATGTCGTGAAGGCGCTGTGTGTTTCATTGTGAAAGCGAAACTACTTTGCTTGGCCTTCCAAAAGAGGACGATATCTGCTTTGTCATGCCTGGAGCTGATCCGTGCTGGGCGCTGAGGAAATACTTCAACTTCTTCGCCGGATCGGCTTTCACCGTGAACGAAGCGGAGTCCAGCCCGGGGTCGTCACATGTGGTTGCCGCAAGCCCTCCGGACGCTCCTTCGTCGAATCCACCGGCCACGCCATTCTCATGCCCGCCACCTCTGCTCACTCTAGCCCTCCGGCCGTTCCTCACGCTAGCCCCCGGCCTCTGCTCACTTTAGACCGCCGCCGCTCACTCTAGGCCACCGTGTGTGACGCTGTGTTTCGTTGTGAAAGCGAAACTACTTTGTTTGGTCTTCCAAAAATGGACACGACTAGAAATCAGTGGTTAAGTTGTATTTACAACACTGTTCCAGAACACTTCAACCCAAATATTCAGATGTGTGCAGCACATTTTATGGAGGACCGTTTCCTGATAATGGTAGAGTAGACTACAATACCGGATGTTCTGACACGCAGGCTGTAAGTACGTTTTTTATATTTAAAGAGTTTTTACATTTTATATTTTTTATATTTAAAGCGAGTTTTTTGGGCAGTGTAGAGTAGGGCTTGTTGTTTGTCATTTCTCCGATCACAAATGCAGACATGGTTTTATGTTTACGCGGCGCGATGCAAGGCAACGCGTAAAAAGACAGTATAAGTCATTATAATTCATAATTATGTCCCCACTGGATGCAACGAATGCCTCGTTTATAATGGGTTTTCATGTTTTTGGATCATTGCTCCGGCCGGACAGGGCATCATCACAGTATGGTGAGGGGCGTAACATTTCCGTCACACGCTTGAGGTATTCTGCCAATCACAACGCGCTGGATAGCTGGCCAATCACAGCACACCTCGCTTTTCAGACCGATGAGATTTTGTAAAAATCGACACGTTTCAGAAAGGTGGGGCATAGAGGAGAAACAATAATGTACAGTATGTGGAAAATAGTGTTTTTTTAACCTTAAACCGCATAAATACATTTCATTACACCAAATACACAAAATAATGTTCTTTTTAGCAACATGACCCCTTTAAAGGCTTAAACTGAATCAGTAAATTGAAATTAATTTCACATCAAATGGCTCTCTGGTGGTTCTCTGTTTACCAACAGTCACCTCTAGGATGGTTGCACACTACAAAGCAACTACAGTGTTTGCAGAGGCAATAATTCCCAAACTGGACAGATGAAGAATATAATATAAAATATAACTATGTTATATATTATATAGATTTTATGTAAGAATGTTTGGAGCATTTTTGGTTCATTTTGGACCCTAAAAGTGGTTTACAACTTTCTGAACATAACAGTCTGACTCAAAACTGAATCAGAACAGAATACAAATGTGTCAACCCCCAAACCACAGCATGCTGCAAACTGTTTGCAACTATTTTCAACCCCAAGCGCAGTTTATCAGTAACAAGCATCACTCATGCAAATCAAACTGAGGAAAATATGTAGCCTTAAACTGTATCTGCACATGATGGATAAAAATTAGGTTATGTAGGCTATGTTACTGTAGTCTTATTAATTGTCAAAATGTCATTAGTTATCTTAAAAATAGCACTTGAACTGTCTGCATTTACTTTGAACCATTAATAAAACAAGCAGAAAAAAATGAAATGGTTTAGTTTAGTTTTATGACTGAAATGTTATTGTAGTTTAAACGGCATCGAGTAATTGGTGCTGAAATTTTCCCGCTTACATGCTTTGAAATCCCCAACCGAGTTGAAAGGAGGAGGCGTGTTTTTCCCACTGCCATTTCACAAAGTTTGTCAAGTAAATGATTAGCTAGGCTCCAGCTCGTGAAGCGCTGTGGTGGAAGGAGCGTCTGGATGAGAGCAGAAGAATGAAGCCTTGAGTACATGATCTCATTCACTCAGCTGAGACTGCACGAGCAGCACCCGAGTGCGCGAGGACAAGCCACAAGTGCTGTTTCTGGATCTATTTTTTATTCTTACGTGATTAATTTCCTTTCCTTGAACAGACCAATGTTGGATATATGTTAAGCCTGCGTGGAATCCCACAACTATCCATAAGAAGGAATGCATCTTTTCCTCGTGAAACTAATTCTTCTGATATCACTCCTTACTTGGACGCAAGGTACGTTTCATTGGAAGATGCTTTCTTCATTAGCCGCCAGTCGCAATTTCTACTGTCACTAACATTAATAACATGATTGCTAATAATAGTCTTCGTTTATTTCCGACATTTATTGTAAAATTGAACACCGTGTCCGAGAAATCACTTGTTGCGCACTGAAGTCAGTATTTTCAACGGCAGAAATAGCAGACGTGATAAATCGTTTGATATTCTGTAGATTGAAGTTTAACTTCGTTACCTGTAACTGTATCACAAATTATTTATCAAAACTATGTTGGACTGAGACTGCTAACTTGTCGCTAGTTTTACTCCAAAGCAAAATATACATATTCACCTTTTTAGTACACTAAAAGTTGGCTACGTTTCATATTTGAACGCATCAGAATGGGTTTTTGAATCAGTCGCAACACATATGGCGGTTTCGATAAGCTACTAGTATTCCTACAGTGTAATAGTGGCAAATGTTGCTCTAGCGCAGTTTGACTGAAGTTTCAACACTTTTGCAGTGAGATGCTACCCAACGTAGCTGCATTTATGGCAAGCCGTTGTATTCCTTGCAACTTGTATCTAGTTTAGTTACAAGTAGCCTGCTTATTTTTAAGTAATCTAATAGTGAGTAGTGTCTTCTGCAATTTCTTTAGTAAGTATTGATACGTATTCCACTGGTGACAGACTCTGACAGTTTTCTATTCTTTACATACTAATACTTATTCTGTTGCTTTTAGTCACTTACCAAATAGTGACAAGTACCCATTTCATTTTTACTCACATCTATTCACGCCTGACTAGTATGCATTCCAATTGTTGCTGGTACCGCTTTTATTCTAGTAACTATTCAAATTGCAGTATTTTTTAAGCTCCCCTAGTACTAATTTATTTATTAGAATTAGTATATTCCAATTATTACTAGAGCCTGACCGATATGGGTTTTTTGGGGGCCGATGCCAATACCGATATTAGGGAGTAGAAAAAGACAGAAACCGATATATCGGCCAATATTCTTTATATGTAGGCTATATTATAGTAAAGTATAGTAAAAAGTTTGGACACACTTCCTATTCGTGTGTTTAAACTTTTGACTGGTACTGTATATATAGTGGTGTGAAAAAGTGTTGGCCCCCTTCCTGATTTCTTATTTTTTTGCATGTTTGTCACACTTTAATGTTTCAGATCATCAAACAAATTTAAATATTAGTAAAAGATAACTCAATTAAGTGAACACAACATGCAGTTTTTAAATGAAGGTTTTTATTATTAAGGGAAAACCAAATCCAAAACTACATGGGCCTGTGTGAAAAACCTAATAACTGGTTGGGCCACACTTGGCAGCAACAACTGCAATCAAGCCTTTGCGATAACTTGCAATGAGTCTGTTACAGCGCTGTGGAGGAATTTTGGTCCACTCATCTATGCAGAATTGTTGTAATTCAGCCACATTGGAGGGTTTTCGAGCATGAACCGCCTTTTTAAGGTCATGCCACAGCATTCTATTGGACTGCAGAAAGATACTAACTTTTCAATCTGCTACGTTACTGACTGTACTGATAAACTATGCTGACACCGTGTCCGCGCCACAACAGGTCACGACAAAGTGACCGTGGAAAATCATTTGAACTTTGTGTCAGCACGTCATAAATAGAACGAGGCATCAGTTTACTGCATCCAGTGTAGACAACATACACCGGTCGCGCACCGCACGATGTGATGTGACTGATGTGATAAGCATGAGTTCTGGGCCAGCTGCGATCAGCTCCGGTGGCCGTAACACAGGCTTTAATGCGCCGCAGACGCATGCCGTGATGCGCAGATCAGCTCTAGTCTCTAACGTCACTGAACCTGCTGTTAAAAATGAGCCATCCATTCATCATATCATCATGCAAAACTAAGAATTAGAATCATTGTAATGTGACGATCAAATATAGGTGGGGGTGGGTGGCGGGCGGATAATTTGAAGCAGCGGACTCGGGTGAAGTTTGAGCTCATCCGCGCATCGCTACACTACACTGACCTGGGTCGCCAGTAGCAAACAATGGAGTCTTCCATTGTTTGCGCTCTGCTGGACAAACTAAGTAATAACACCATTCAGAAGCATTTAATCTGCGTTATATGTTCTGTAAAAAAAAAAAGTCATATCGGCGGCATATTCACCGATACAATATATCGGCGACAGGCTTATATTGTCCAATAATGTCGGATAAATGATATATCGGTCGGGCTCTAATTATTATAAGTATTTTTTCATTTTCATAGTAAGTCCTGATCAGGCATTGTATGTGACGCGTAAAAAAAAAAACAATTTAGCTACTAAGATAATAAATAGTTCTAGTGGCTAATGAAATAGACAGTCACTATTGTAAAATGTACTATAGCATATAAAGAATAGGTATTACTGAAATAAAAATATATATACTAGTCACTTTGGATTGCTTACTAGTAATTAAATATAAGTACCAGTATAGACAATAAGTAAAAGTAACCTAACAGATATTAATTGGTTTTAAGGAATACATGGTAAAAGAGCTTGCCATAGTACATTCCCCAGAACAGCTGCAGAATGAAGAAGCAGTGTGCTGTCAAGTCCCTCTGTCCACAAACATCGCTTTAAGGTGTTAGGAGTCACACTTTCTTTCTGGGTTCTGCTCAGTATCTTACCAACTTTTGCACAGTTTGGAAACAAATTGAAAAGTTAAGAATGTGTAATATTATCATTAATATTTTTAAAAATCTTGTCTTAAAAAAATCTTTTTAAAAAAAGTTGTCTTTTCAAATTAAGGATGATATCACCTTTGGCAATATATATTAGTTTTGAGATGGGATCAAATCATGCAACACTCAGTAGAAATGTATTACCCTGTTTCCTATGTTTCTAGGCCTGGAATGTTCAGAAAAATGCCAAAACGGTGGTACATGTGAACCTACTGCAGATGGGAGAGGAGAATGCAGGTAAGTAATTAGAACTCAAACATATATAATTGCTGTTTCTGAACCATGTCAATACCCTGGAGGAATTTAACACAATGTTTCTGAATTGCACACATCATTGATATGAGATTTCTTTGTGATCCAGTTCCAAAAGTTTACAATTTTCAGCAATGCAGTATAAAAACTGTTGCATACTAGAACACATGCGATCAATTTGAATCCCAACCTTGCAAATAAAAGCTAAGTGTGCTTCTCTCCTTGAAGAACATGGCCTCAGCTAATGAACGACATACACAACCTCTGATGAAGAGGGTCTAGGGCATCACCCCCCTCCGGCTGGCCGTGAGTACGGGCCACTTCTCCAGCCCAAGTCTTGGAGACACCCAGAGCCCTAAATCGTATTTCGCTTTTCTTTTATGGAACGACAGCTGGGGTTTGCCAGAAGCTCGGCGACCATTGTTCTCCAGTCTAGATTAATTCTGTGTGACTAATCTGTTTGAGGCTTCCCAGAATGCCTGAGGCCCCCCCCCTCCCTGCACGCCCTGCCCCTGTGCGGGTGTTTTGTCCTATTTTGAATGCCCATTCACTCTCTGTGATTTACATTAGAAGGACAGATGGCAGTAGAGTGTAATTGGACTGGATGTTTTCATAATTGGTAGCATTGCACCAGTGGAAAATCAAGAGCAAACAGGTTGCCTCCGTGCACATAGCATCACATAACTCTCATTTCTCTACTGTGCCCAAACACGATGGTTGACTGCTTCTTTACTCTTATTGTGTTGGTTGATTTTCTAATAGGGTTAACTCTCTTTGGCCTTCTGTGCTTTTTACTTCAGCATTGATGTGAATGCGGGATTGGGTTGCAAGCATTTGGCCAGGGTTGCATTGTCTTTCTCCGGCTATCAATGAGTTTATCAGGGTGGCTATGGAGGAGCACACTGGCAGGGCTCATTTGAAGCGGGATGGTGGCGGCTCTGTTTTTGGCCTCCCTCAGTGTACTGCGAGCACATGGAGCCGCGCTGGCGGTGGGCCACATCTTAATTCTGTCTGGCAGCCTCCCTGCCTCAGTCGGGCCACAAAGCCACCATTGTGCCCTATCATACTCAGACTCCTCTAATTAAACATGGAGATACAAACGAAGGCCGCTCTCCGGCTCAGGATGGCACATTACTATGTCTAGTACCATTTATCTATTGTTCAAATGCAACTGGTGGACAAACAAATGCAAACTGGTGGTCCTGCAACATGTCTGGCAAACTTTGGCAAAAAGTGAGTTCGTAGGTCAGTTTTGGCCACGCTGTCCCTCTAATCAAATGCGTGGGTGTCATTTAAATATTGCCGTAAAAACTGCTGCTAAAGAGCAAACACATTAGGGATAATGCATGGCTAGCTGTACATTGAACAATTTTAATGCACGACGTGAAGGCAAGAAAAACCTGACGCGAAGTTACGGCTCGTTAGCTCAGCATTCTGCCCGCTTCAGATCAGAAAGAGATGAAATAGTGTGGTAAGATCACATTTATTTGAATTAATTAATTATAATATTTAGCTACTTAAATTAATTATTCGATCGAGAGAGAGAGAGAGTGAGAGAGGTGACAGTTGCCTACCTGCATCTGTGCGTCTCTCCAGTAGGCTATTTAATCTATTTTATTAATAAAAGTCGCGGGGCAGCGTTCTCAAGAAGTTTGTGTCCTCCTGAATGTTTGTATACATGCGCAGCGCGATCTCCAATCTCACAAACCAAAATAATAGACATGATTTTCTCAGGCCACATGTAAAATCATATGAATTATTATAAAGATTATTAAAATGAATATGTATGGATGACAGTTGATTACAATAATATTTCAGTTTATTTCCAACATTAGTAACAGTTTCCCCTGTGGGATAAAGTTAATATATATTAATAATACTTCATTAACTTTGTTATTTACTATCCCTGTTGTAGTATTATTCATAAGATTTTTTTTCACCCTGTTTCCAAATTCTCTACCCTAGGTCCAAAAGAAATGTAAAGAATGTACAAACTGAAAACATTAAATACTTTTGTGATCTATTTCCATTTGTTATTTTCAAAAGAGAAATACTGTCATGGATGTTTACAGAGCAGAGGTCACCTTTTTAAAATTCCAATAGGAGAGATGGACTTTTCTTTGTCATTTGTTTATTATTATTTTGTGCTGTATTGTTGGTTACTGTGTTATTTCTGTTTCAAAAGCCAGCAAAAAAAATAACACTTTAATATCTAAAGAGTGTTCATGTGGTTTTATACATTAGTAATGTTGTGAAATGAATAAATGCATAATAATCGCCATAATCGTAAAACCGTGATTATTCCTCAGACAATAATTGCACCAACAAAATCTATAATCGTTGCATCCCTAATTGTGAATGCCTCAAATGCTTTGTGACATACTTTGTGCTTTTAGTCAACACACTGTAAATAGTGAAAATGTGCAGTTGTTCCCTTAAAGAGATAGTGCTCCCAACAAATTCAGTTATGTCGTTATTTATTCCCCCTCATGTTGCTCCAAACCTGTATGACTTTTTCTTCTGTGGAGCACAAAAGAAGATATTTTGAAACATGTCTCAGTGTTTTTTTGTTTGTAAATGAAAGTCAACGGGGTTTGCACCCCTTTTGACTTCATTAGAGTTGAAATATTCTTCAAAACATGTTCTTAAACATGACTGAATGTAGGTTCAGTTGATTCAGTCATATTGAGTAACATTTCTAAATAATATAAAAAGTTCACATTAATTATTTGTAATAATGAATAAATAGTATTAGTAATGTTTAAATATGTATTACATAAAGCTAGTTAACTGTTCCATAAGAGACACATTTTGTGTTACCTGACCAAATATGTTAACTGTGCATGGGCTCCTAAAACACACTTGTTATTTGATGATGAAAATTATTAAAAGGTTTAGTTCATGTAGATTTATCCAGGCAAAAGGTAAAGCAAGAAAATAAGTAAAAACAAACACATTATAAAAAGTGAAAATGTGCAAGTTTATTTAATTTGATTACTTATTTTATTTCTTTAAATCTGAACCTTAAAAATACTTTTTTGGTTTAATTTAGTCTTGTTTACTTGATTAAAATAAGTTAAAATATGAAGTACATTAGATTAATTGACAAACCATTTTATTACAGTGCAGTAATTGTAAAACTGCAGGTCGATCATTTTAAATCAAGTGCTGTTCAGCTAGTCTTATATTGTTTTGGGAAGATGTGTTCATTCTACTTGACATTCCATGCCAGGAATACCAAACACTCAAATCTGGCACTATGACAGACTCATAAAGGGGGGAGAGAGCTTTGATGCTTTGGCAAGGCCAGAAGTCCAACTGACAGTAATACAAACCAGCTTCCACATCTGAATTCCTTGTATGTATGAGGAACGGCAGATTTGAATCGAAAGGATTAGTGTTCGACAAGGAGATGAGAGATGCAAGACTGGAGGGAGATGAGGACAAGTTCACATGTGAACTTTGAGACCTTCCGCCTAAGTCTTCGATGGGCGGCCGTTGATGCAGTGTGCAAAAAGAGCTCAGTGTCTTCCGATTGGGTCCCAAAAGAGTCATAAAGATTTGAACACAGGAGCGGAAAAGCCTGATGTAGTGTGATACACCTTGTTTTAATTCATTACTAACATATATCAAGCTAATAATTCATTTCACACTTGGAGCTTATTTACACAATTGCAGTTCTAGTGTTTGTAGTTTGGGATAATAACATCTTGTCAGGGTAGCGGCCTTGAAATATATGGACTAAGTCAACTGTTGCTAAGCATGGACAATGTTTTTGACATCCTCATTTATAACTGTTTTTCAACAAGACTTTTCAAAACTTGCAGTAACATTTCTGCAACATTTCTTCATTATTTTCTACATGGTTGCTAAAGTGAGTGTTTCTAAACGTTACTAAGGTGTTCTGAGTGGCTGTCAGGATGCTGCTAGGCAGTTACTAGTGTCATTTCTAGGATCTTCTGGGTTATGCTAATCAAGTCTGCATTTATTTGATCAAAGATACTGTGAAAACAGTGATATTGTGAAATATTACTACAATATAAATACACAGTTTCTTATTATTATCATTATTAAAAAAATTTGCTGCTTAATGTTTTTGTGGAAACAGTTATACATATTTGTCAAGATTATTTGATGATTAGAAAGTTCAAAAGAACAGCATTTATTTGAAATAGAAATTTTCTGTAACATTATAAATGTCTTTGCCATCACTTTTGATCAATTTAATGCATCCTTCATGGAAAAAATTTATCATTTATTTAAAAAATGACTATGTCAGTAAAAATGATTTGTTATTGACATAAGAATTTGAGATAAATATCAAATTATATATTTAGTAGTATATGCACGATACATTTTAAAAGGGTCATGATGCAATTTCATGTTTTCTATTGTCTTTGGAGTGTTAAAAGCTGTTTGTGCATACAGAAGATCCGTAAAGATTAAAGTCTCAAACCCAAAGAGATATTCTTTATAAAAGTGAACGCTCATATCATCATATATGAACATGTTTTAGCGCAGCTTGTCAGTGAACAACGGCTCTGTGTAGTAAATGCTGCTCCATGTGAAAGCACGCACGTGATGGAGATTTACCGCTGATTACAGAACCGGCTTTACTGACAAGATGCACATTAAATATCACATGCGATTATTAACGCTCAGCCACGCCCTCCTAAAATGCCTCGTTTAAACACGCCCCCACATACCTATGTCACTGTGTGGGAAGATTTGCATAACACCACCCAAATGTTTATGCAAAGAAAGAAGGCGTAACTTTGATTCTCGCTGTAGTATTGTTGGCACCGCCACCATGTCGTGGAGACGCTGTGTGTTTCGTTGCGAAAGCCAAACTACTTTGTTTGGCCTTTCAAAAGAGGACACAATCAGTGGTTAAGTTTTATTTACAACACTGTTCCAGAACAGTACAACCCAAATACATACCATATAATATGTTTTAATAATCAAATTAGCCAATTAATAATCAA